GAGGGCAGTGTCACTGGCCCTCATATGTGGGATCTGAACCGGGGCCCTCTCGCATCCCAAGCCAGTTCTTAACCAACGCGCCACTCAGCTGGCCCCCTAGTTTGGGTTTTTAATCTTCTATGTATGTCATTTGCTTCTGTAAGTGTTTGAATGTGTAGCTATTAAAATGTTTTATGGTTTCCAGCTGATAAATCTTGTATCTGTTTTCTTACAGCTGTACTTAGGTTTGAACTAGTCATTGACATGATTCAGACTTTGCTTCTGAGAATGCGTTTAATCAAAGGTATTTGGAAGATCTTGGAAGGAATAGATTATCTGTATAAGAAGATTTAATGTTCACTTTTTGTTACTAGGGATTCCTGATGAAATCATTTTGGAAAACATTATCATATCTTGGAGAGTCATTGTTTTATTAGCATATTAAACATTCGACTGGATTAATTTTTAGTGATAGCCTTAAACATTACTCAGAACTCACTTTGAGAAAGGTTGGTAAATACATTTGAACAAAGATAGAATCACATATGTAGGGAATTTATTTTTTCCTTTTTTTTCCTGTTCAAAACAGAGGCCAGATACACAGACAGGGTGTCTTTGTCTGCTCTGTTGTACAGTGTTTATTTTATTTGTTTCTTTTAATGAAAGAAAGAATAACATAGATCCAGTTGTAAAAGCATGACAGTATTGTGGGATTAATCTTTTTTTTTTTAATTAAAGTTTATAGGGGTAATAATGGTTACTAAAGTTTCATAGGTTTTAGGTGTACAATCCTGTAATATATCACCTATATATCACATTGTGTGCTCACAGCCCAGAGTCTGTTCTCTTTCCATCATTTTGTCTATATGTTTGAAAGCTGACTTTGAAAATACTTCTAGAACTTTGAAACCTTTAGGAAACATCCTAATGGTAATTCCGTTCATCTGTTAGTATAAGGTATCAAGTTTGAATCAAAAGAAACAAAATATGTGGAGTGTCCAGTTTTAAAAGTCTGAATATTCTTAAAGCTATGCTGTCTGAAAGTATTGAGTGGTGTACATGCGCATGCTTGTATGTTGATGAAGTCATCCTAACTTGTTTTGGAACCTTGGTTTGTTGATATGATGGTGATACACAGTGTTTTCTGAGGGTAATTAAAATATGCAAGGGCAATAGATTTTTTTCTAATTTTTACTGTCTTATTAACAAGGGAATTTTTAAAGGCCATATCAAATCATATTCTTTCCAGACTGTGGTCTTCCCAAACTAGCCTTAACAGATCATGATCCTTTTTCCAGTTCAGTTTGCTTCATGCCAAAAGTGTGCTTGGCAAGGTACTTCAAGCCTTGATATCATTACACTGTTGTAGTACTGATTTTTTATTTTTTTAACTTTGAAGGTTCCAAGATACAAGGTTAGATATTTTATTTTCTTTAAAATGTTCTTAAATAAATTATATCCTTATATAATCCTTAACCCTTTGTAGATAGAAGTGTCCTTAAGAGATAATTTATGAATCTTGAAAATAAGTGTTTACCCAGTCCTCTTAGGACTCGTCAAACACGCTGAGTCAGTGGTGGTACATCAGCATGGCAAAGAATTGGTGACTTAGTTCTACACTGTGGGCTGTGGGCCCTACAGGCTGCAGTTGCTGGAGAAGCTGTGACAGGAGACTGGGTCATGGAAGCACTTGGGTGCCCTCAGGGAAAGCTGACTGAATGCTTTGGTGACAGTGACAATGCACTTTTCCATGCAAGATGGACTCTCCCTAGTAGGATAGGCAGGCAGTCCCCAGCTTACCCCTACTTCCTTACTGCGCAAAATTCCATTGTTAGGTATTTTATGTGTGCTTTAAATTTTGTATTTAGTTTTAGTGTTAAGAGTAAAGATACGCTGTTTTTACTTGACCTCTTGAAATATAAAACTATGCATGTTCACTACCACAAAGTTTGAGAGGTCAGGCCAGAAATGATAGCCACTTCAACTTTATTTTATCCCCTAAGTGACTTTGTTAGGCGCTTCCACTGTTCTCCTATTCTATATGGCATTCCAAGTACTCGTAACCTGAACTGGACCCTGAACTGGCAGTGCCTGGGAAAGCACTGGGAGGAACTATGCCTTTCCAGTATTCTACTTTGTTCTCCTGTCAGTCTCCCCAACACACAGATAAATTATTTTTTATTTTAATTTAGAAAGCAGTCTAATAATATACACTGTTTTATATTTTCCCTAAAGGACGTTTGCCAAACCATTTAAATGATCTATCTTAATGCAGTGATTATTATAGTTGTATATATATATTATAATAATGAATAGTGTGTTAAGTTTTTACTTTTAATTGAAACTGTTCTTTTATTTTTTTCTTTTGGAAAAGGTAATTGTAACAATCTTTCTGGGACTGGTTATAGGAGCCATTTTCTATGATCTGAAAAGTGACCCTACGGGAATCCAGAATAGGTAAGTCAATTTGGATATCGACTTTGAGAAAGTCCTATTACTTCTTTCAAGGTTGTAAGAATCTATTAAGAATTTGAATTTCAGATAAGTACTGGAGAAACTGAGGAGTTGGATAAGTCAGTGAGTTGAAAGCTTAATTGAAAAGTTAATTTTCATATATACATATATAGTGGTAAAATATACAGAACATAGAATTTAGCCTTGTAACCAGTTTTGTGTGTAGTTAAATGTCGTTAATTACATTTACATTGTTGTGCAACCATTACCACCATCCAACTCCAGAGCCTTTTTTTTTCATTTTCCCAAAATAAATCTGTATACCCATTAAACAAAAACTCTCCATTTTCCCTTTCCCCATTTCCTGGAAACCACCATTATACTTTCTTTCTCTGAATTTGACTCTTCTAGGTATCTCAAATAAATGGAATCGTACAGTATTTGTCCGTGGGTGACTGGCTTATTTCCCTTAACATAATATCTTCAAGGTTCATCCATGGTGTAGCACGTCAGAATTTTTTCCTTTCTAAGTCTAAATAATATTTCATTTTAAGGCTATATCACATTTTGTTTATCCAGTTACCTATCCATGGACACTTGGCTTGTGTCTACCTTTTGGCTGTTGTGAATAATGCTGTTAGGAACATGGGTGTATATATAAATATCTGTTTGAGTCTCTGCTTTAAATTCTTGTCAGCGTATACCCAGAAATGGAGTTACTGGATCATTTCGTAATTCCATTTTTTTGTTTTTTTGAAGAATTGCCACCCTGTCTTCTACAACTATACTATTTTGCATTTCTGCCAGCGTGTATAAAGGTTCGGTTTTTTTCCAACTTGGTCAATACTTGTTATTATCTGTTTTTTTTTCTTGCTTTATAATAGCAACACTAATTATTATGAAGTTGTATCTTATTGTTGTTTTGATTTGCATTTCCCGAATGATTAAGTGATGCTGAGCATCTTTTCATGTGGTTATTGGCCTTTTGTTTGTCTATTGCAGTTGTTTGTCCATTTTTAAATTGGATTTTTTTTATTGTTGAGCTGCAAGAGTTCTTTATATATACTGGATATTAACCCCTTATTAGATATACATTTAGATGTCTTCTGCCATTCTCTAGGTTGTTGTTTTACTCTGTTGATAGTGTCTTTGATACATAAAAGTTTTACATTTTTTCATAGTTCATTAATTTTTTTCTTTTGTTGCCTATGAGTTAATTTCCTTTCTGTTTTTTTATTTATTTGACATAGGGATGTGGATCAGACTCAGTTTTTTTCTAATAGTAACATGGTGGATTACCACCTTGAAAAGAATGAGAATGTATTACGTTAACAAAAACTGCTTAGTATTATAAAATAAATTCTTACAATTTAGAAGGAATTTCACTGTATTAGTTCTGAGTCATTCTGAACATAATTGTAGTGTTAGATGTAAGACTTAACAAATTGAACTGAATTGTTGCCATGTCCCATGTTTCTGAAATTAGCTTTCAGTTTTGAAGTTCGTATTTACTTTGATAACTAGGCGTTATTGTGTGTGGTTATGATATATGGTTAGCACTTATGTCAGTTTACCTTCCCCAGTTTCAGTCATAATGTGATCTTAATATTGTTTCTTGATGAGACTTTGTGGCGGGCCCTAGTACGCTGTGACTATAGGTGCTCAGTAAGTTCGCACACCGCGGAGTTCTCCTTTGCTCTGTGTATTTAGCATTGCTCTGTGCCAACACTGTGCTCCCTGCTTTACACCCATGGTCTTGGGTTACCCTCCTGCCCTGAGGAGTCGATGGTGTTATCCCCATTTTACTGTTGATGGAAGTTGCAGTGTCTTCAATGGAATCTATTTTGATGCCTGGAAAAGGGTGATTGTTTATGAAAGAAAGAAAAAGCATAAAAACCTCACTCAGGTAAAACAAATATTTCCCATATGGAAACAGATAGTGTTCCTCTACAATGAGATTTTTATGGCAGCTCCTATTCAGAGTTAGGTCATCATTTTTCTCTTTACCTACCCTGACAGGTGTGTTCTCTGAGCTATTTCCAGGCCTGCTATTAATTGGTGGTTTGTGCCTTGGTAGATGCCATATTTTAATCCAGCTTAGAATACTTATCACTGGATCTAGAGCCCGTGAACCTTTTGTGTTGCCCAATGGGAAGCATTTGGAACAAAATATTGTCACAGCTGTCCTCCACTGGAATTTTAAAGGGGACCTGGAAATGTAGCCATTAAAGATCGTGGTAGAAGAATCCAGAGAAATAAAGAAGAGCTTTAGCTGTCTCCTCAAATGTTTCCTGGGGAAATAGGGCATTGGATTTATTTTAATTTGTAGTTTTGACTTAAGGTTGCTACCAATTTCTCATCACTTGAAGTTGCTCAGGAGGACAATTGTTTGCTTCACTTCTTTGGGAATGAATTCTCCCAGGAAGGCACTCATTCTGCTCTCTCTCTAACCTGTACAGCTGACAAGCTGGGCTCTAATCATGTGTAGTCTATGAGCTTCTTTGACCTAATGGTTACCTTACAGGGCTCTGGTGATAGCTAAACAAATTAATGCGTATTAAGAGAAAAGGTATTTAACCTACAGTCAGGATTACTCTACTCAGCATAGCTCTCATTTAGAATCGAAAGACAAATAAAGAGCTTCCCAGACAAGAAAAAGCTAAAGGAGTTCATCACCACCAAACCAGTTTTATAAGGAATCTTAGAGGGACTTCTTTAAGACAAAAAAAAAAATACAGTAATAAAGTGGCAATAACTACATATCTATCAATAATTACTTTCAGTATAAGGGGATTAAATGCTCCAGCCATTAGATAGGGTGGCTGAATAGATAAGAAAACAAGATCCTTACACATGCTGCCTATTAGAGACTCACTTCAGATCAAAAGGCACACACAGAGTGAAAGAAAAGGGATGGGAAAAAGATATTTCATGAAAATCGGGAACAAACAACTGAGGTAGCAATACTTATACCAGACAAAATAGACTTTAAAACAAAGGCTATAAAAAGAGACAAGGAAGGACTCAGTAATCCTACTCCTTGGTGTTTATCTGCAGAAACCCCAAACGCTATGTTGAGGGGACAAATGAATCCATATGTTCATTGTAGCATTGTTTACAATGGCCAAGATGTGGAGGCAGCCTGGGGTCCATCATTGGATGAATGGATGAAGAGAAGGTGCTACATATATACAATGGAATATTGCTCAACCATGGAAGGAAATGGGTTCTTGCCATCTGCAGTGGCATGGATGGACCTGGAGGGTCTTGTGCTGAGTGGAGTATATCAGACAGAGAAAGACAGTTGCAATGTGATTTCGCTTATATATGGAATCTAAAGAACAAAATAAACAACAAAACAAAGAAACTCATAGATACAGTGAACATTTTGATGGTTGCCAGATGGGAGGGGGTTTGGGAGTGAGTGAAAACTGGTAAGGGGTTAAAAAGTAAAAATTGGTTGTTACACAGTACTCATGGGGATGTAGGTTATAGCAGAGGGAATACAGTCAATAATATTGTAATAACTATGTATGGTGTCAGATGGGTAGATTTATCGGGGTGATAGATTGGAGGGGGTTGGGGGACAGGGTGAAAAAGGTGAAGGGATTAAGAAATACAAATTGATAGTTACAAAATAGTCATGGGGATGTAAAGGAAAACATAGAGAATATAGTTAATAATATGATAATACTTGTGTATAATGCCAGGTGGGTCAGACTAGTCAGAGGGATCACTTCTTAAATTATACAAATGTCTAACCACTATGCTGTACA